AGTGCTGCCACAACAGACTTATTCCAGTTAGAAGTCCATGCTGTACTTCTGCACAGAGAGCGTGTGGTAAGACATGCTACTCACCCAGAACCCACAAGTGTTGCTTTGGAAAAGTTGTTCCAAGTTATTACCGTACATGTGGCCAAATATGCTACGATCCAAAGAAATCCAAATGTTGCGATAATAAAAAAGTCACTCCGTTGTCTAGTCCATGTGGTTGTGTCCGTTGCGGCGGTGTCTGTATCAATACAAAATTCCAAAAATGCTGTCATCAAAGAATATTATTGAAAAGTGTGCCGTGCATCTCAGGGTCTGGTAAGCTATTCTGTAAATGACGTCTGTGAATCATAAAATAGTTCTTTATTTTATAGTCTGTTATTTTCTTTCCCACAGGAAATCCTTTAAGAATTACAACAGGTTTAAATGGTGAGTACCCAAAGAATATTGGGATTCTTCGCCTTTCCTCATGATTCATCTATTAAATCCTTTTTGTTTATATTTGCAGCCAGAAGAGTTGGTTGTTACAGAGACACGTGGAATCGTGCCATTCCTACACTGGAAGGTAAAAGTTACATCCTGATTGGAAACTACCGAAGGAGACCATTTGCCATCGAGAAGTGCGCGTTAGCTGCTGCTAAGCTTGGATGGAGTGTTTTTGCAGTACAACACCAAGGATGGTGCGCTTCTAGTCCAACTGCAGGACGTACCTACAAGAAGTATGGACGATACAACACTTGTAGAAATGGCAAGGGAGGACCGTGGGGGAATGATGTGTATGTACTGGAAGGTGAGTTATTAGAAGATACACCAGTCCATATTCACAAATATGGACCGTACACTCTTAAAACATCCCAAATACTAGCAGCACCTGACCATGTGAGGGGTAATCCTTTGAAAGAAATCATTTTAAATAATTGAACTCTTTCAGGCAAAGGAAGTAAAAGAACAACCAAAGGAGACATCTGTGTCTTTCCATTCATCTATAAAGGAAAGCTCTACAATGGCTGTACAAGAGTAGACCACAATCGTCCATGGTGTGCTATAACACCTAACTATGACATTGACAGGCTTTGGGGGAATTGTTAAGCAAGAAAAAAAAAAAACTGGGAGTAAATTTATAATTGTCCTCAAAATCCCTCTAAAACTAAGTCACAGGGCGGATCCAGGAATTTGTTAAGGGAGGGATGCAGCGCACATAGTTAACCCAGGGAGGGGTGCACCCCTTAGAATCAAAGGGAAAAACATTATTTTGTATTGGTTAAATCTTTGAAGTAGGGACACAAAGTCGAACCAGGGAGGGGTGCGTGCCCCCTGCACCCCTCCCCTGAATCCGCCACTGAGTCAAATTGCAGAAACGATGTACTCTCTCTTTGCATGTATGCTAAACAATGTATTTGTGTGTAGAAATATAGTCAATAAAATAATAAAATCAATTAAATTGAGTCCCTCTTTTTACATTGTCTTGACCATTCTACCTAGTTCTTTTTGAATTTAGATTTCTTTGGCTCTTTTCATTAACTCAGCTTCAACTGCTGACACAAGTTTGGGAGAAAGTGCATGCTCACAGACCTGCAAAGTGTAAACCACTTCATCTAAACTATTCTGAGACAAGTCTGCAAAGTCTTGAAATAACATTGCATTTGAGATCTTTTGAAGGAATTTCTTATTCAAAAAGCCTGTTTTTGTAAAAGACCACAGAATCCTTGCAAGTCTATGTAATGACCAACCCCCCAGATCTATTGACATTAATTGTTTCTCAATGAGCTGAAAGAGTCTAGGACTTTTGTTATCAGTATTAGCATATGACCATGCTATGATAACCAAACTTTGGTCATCGAAATACAGTTTTGGCCGAGTTAGTATCTCTCTTTCTACTGCAGCAAATAGATCTTGCGCTTTGATTCGTTGATTGGAAAATGACCATAAAATTACTGAAAGATCTTTTGTTCCATATTCAGACAATCTTTTACTGTTGAGAAGCTCAGATTTAAAGAATCGAAATAAAGGTTTAACATTAACTCCTTCTTCAGAATATGCCCACATTAGCATGATCAAGTCCTGGTTATTGAACTCAGTGATGTCTCGTTCTTGGATATCTTTACGTACAGCAGCAAAAAGCTTAGCACTTGCCCTCATCACTCTTGCAAAAGACCAAACGATTTGACAGAGTTCTCTTGTAGTGAACTCCTTTGCATCTCTCCTCAGAATCTCCTTTTGAATGTGACTAAAAAGAATGGGAGCAGCTATGTTTGTTTTGCCATGTCCCCATAGAATCATCGCTAAGTCTGCATTGGAAAAAGCTTTGAAGTCTTGCTTAGACTCAATAATACTTCCAAAATAGGCAAACCATTCTGGATCCGTTATGTCTAGCTTTCCCAAAGACCATATAATATCTGCTAGTTCAAATTCCTTAAGCTGAGAGCTTTTGTTCTTGATGTCGTTTAAAAGACCCTCGTATAGTTGAACAGCATTATTTTTATCTCTCTTGTATTTAGTATGGTCGTTCGACTTTGCCAAACGTACGAGAACACGTACAAAGTCGCCATCAGAGAGCACCCCTGTACTTTTGTACTTGGCGTAGTTTTCAAGCGCTTCCGATTTTGATCTTATTCCTCTGACACTTTCTTCGATCTGCTTAGCAATTGTTACTACAGGATCATTCCTCGAGAAACTCTTCTTTCCAGACTTTTCAGTGATATTGAAAATAGATTTTGGCGTCGTGTTTTGGGAGAAACTTTGTGCTTGAATTCTGAAGTAATTTGAGAAAAATAAAGGTCGAGAAAACACGTTTTGGTGTAAAAACGAGCACCTTGGACTAAACGCAAGGCATTGTCGTAAATTAGATTGAAGGAGTTTCTTAAAGAAAGCCATACTCTTAAATAATCAAGAATGAAGATTTACACACATTTTTTCATGTTTGTCCTCCATTTTGAAATTTTCCTTAGACCACAGGAAGCCCAATTGATTGAAGGAGAGTCATTAACAAACAAACATGGCGACTTCATCCACCCCAAAAAATTATAAATAAATCGTTAAAAAAGGCTCCAATATGCAGCCTCCGATAGTGAATTTCCTTCATTAAGAAAAGTATAGGAATTATTGACAAGGTAGGTGAGTCAAAGAGTTTTAAAAAGCTTTAAAAGTTTAGGATTTGACTTGACAAGATGACATCTGTGCATCTGTTTTCAGCTTCCTCGAAAGAGGAGAGGTCCCTTGTTAACGAGATTTACACTCCGAAAATATCTCTTTCTATTGTTATATATTTAAGAGAAGGATAAATTGCAATATTTCAAGATTCTTGTTATTTTAAAAACGTGTTTGGAGCTTGATTTTTAGCATTTGGCGTTTTTGAAAGCTGTACTGTCTAATTTGTTATTACCATTCGACGTTTTCGAATTATTGTAAATAAGATAAACGTAGCAGTCTTTAATCTTAGTTAATACCCTTTTCAGTTACTTCATAGAAAACACAATGTATTCGGAGTGGGTGTCCCTAAACCACACGTTAAGAGCAGATAAGAGGAATAGGAGTGTGTTGAGAAGCTTTCCCCGTCATGTAGGCAGAGAAATCGCACATACTATTGTAACGACACTGATTCAAGACCAAGGGCTGCCCGATAAAAAAAAACTGTCCTCGTCTAGTGAGGTTGACTGGGTCATGGAAGTTTTCTGTTATGGCCTTTCTCTGCCGATGACCGAAACAGATGGAGAAATCATTAAGGGGTGTGTGAATGTCTACATAGAGTGGCTTGGTGTGATGCTTATGGAAGATCGAGACAAGGTCATACCAGAACCGCTACTCAAGGAGCCTGTCAAATATGTACAGAAAATCTTCCAGCATTTGAAAAATTTGTTCTTGATCCGAAATGATAACGGCAGTAACCTTGCTCTCCAAGCATCGTTGTGTATTCGCGTACTCCAGTTTTTCAAAGTCATTGCCAGCGAAAGTCAACTTTCTCCAGAAATTTGGGATGCTTTACTTTGCTTGATGCTTGTCATTAATGAACAGCTACTTTCGCCGCCCTACAGTGCAGGAGGACTTAGTGAACATCTTAAAGAAATCCTCATTAATAGTCTTCTGGAAGTATGGCTACACGCAAGTGTTCAGTATTTTCCTCCTCCGTCGATGTGGAAAACATTACAAGAGCTTTGTATGTCTTGGCGACATCATAATGCTATGATAGAGTACTGGAGCAGTACTGTGTTAATGCTGACGAGAAAGGTTATCAAATATCTCTATGGGAACTCCTTCCCTTTGCCACCTCTCAAGTCCAAGAAAAATGAAGTCCAAATTCCTGCAGTAATGAACAAAGAGACACTCCTTCAGACATGGTTCAGGATACTTCACATCATTAGCAACCCTGTGGATCTTTGTAACAGAGAAATTATTAGTGATACGGGGAAATTCAAGGAGTTTGCTCTGTCATGCCAAGACGTTACCTATCCATCAGCTCATCCATGCTTGGATTGTCTTCCAGAAATCTTTTTGCAAGCAATGAAAGGAATTGCAGTAATGGTGAACACTTTTCTGTGTATCACAACCACACACAACCAACCTGTGAAGCATAATCCTATAAATGCACCTGTTAAAGGATCAAGTCCCTCGGCATCTAAAAAGCGTGAGATAAAGACACTCAGCACAGGACTGGCTTTAGGCCTGGCGGATAACAAAGGTCTAGGTATACGATCATTGACCATGCCATCTCGGCACAGTAGTGGCACATCTATGACTGGCGTCCCAATGCCTGATGATGAAATGATAGGCGATGAGAAAGAGAGTCAGACTCCAGCATCTTCATTGTTCTCTAAATCACCCAGCTCAACTACCGCTCCATCTGTGGACAGTGTACTAGACTTGTATGGCGCTTGGTTGTTTGACGCAGCATTTGCAAAGGTAGACATGAAAGCAAGTTACGAAGCAATTGGCGATATCTACGCCAAGTGTTGTGAGACATCTGAGAATGCTGAACGGAATATCCATTCCCCAAGAAAAATAAGGTAGTGATCAATTAACATCCTATTATTATTAATGTATCTTTCCCAATATTACGGGAAAGAAATGCACCCATACATACCCGAGGAAATTGAATCATGATATAGTCAACTCTCCCCTTGCGGACACCCCGATATTACGGACATCTTGCTATTACGGACAGGAGAAAAATCCCCGACAAAAATACTAACAAAGAAATGCCGTAAATAGTTTTCGCTATTGCGGACACCCACTATTACGGACATGAAATGACAGTCCCGAGCGTGTCCACTGTAACGAGAGTTGACTGTATTAGCTGTGTTGTGTTTGAGAAAATGACTGGCTTGAGTTTGTGCATTGTGTAGTGCATTGCTGGACTGTCTTCTGTGACAGGTGATATTTTCAAGATGACATCTTTTTTGTCCACTAAAACATTCCTAAAATGCAATACAATTCCAACCCAACCTAGTCTTTTGATTCTCTGTATGATATTGGACACTGACATGGGATTCTAAAGGAATTGTATTGCATGTCATGAAATTAACTTTTAAACCCACTAGCAAAATCTTGCTAGTAAGTTTTGTTCTCATTAGCAAAAATTTCAAAGTCACCTAGCAATGGGACGCAGTGAATAACAAGCTTTACTTGATGCGGATTCTAAACTTTTCAGTCCTTCAATTTCTGGACTGTGGTCATACTCGCAAAACTTTGCTAGTTAAATTTTTTGTCACTTGCTAAATACAAAATTATGAAGTAATATATTATCTGCTAGATCAAGGCAACATTGAGCAATAGAGAATTCAGCATAGGAGTATTGTGATTGATTGGTCAAAAGGAACTTGATATTTTGATTTTCAACAGGCCAGCTGAGTAAAGAAACATTTCAAGACTCTAAAAATGATGTAGTACCTAGCTGTAATGATGCCAAACCAGAAAACCCCTACTAATTTATGCAGCTCCTTTAGTTTGTTCCTAAATATTTTTCCTGAAATGTTTTCTTTTTTTAGTGTTGAGAGCAGCAGTAGCATAGCAAAGAAAGACTACGCTGATGATGCCAATTTCGAACCAGGCAGAGCAGAGGCATTTGGTGCTCTTTGCCGTATCTTCTGTAGTCCAAGGGCAGAAAAGAGCATTCGACCAGTCTACCTCTCAAGGTTCTACTTGGCTATAGCTACTGGTCTTCTTCATGATGAGGTACATTTTAACATATCCACTGTGAAAACTCTCTGCTCTTTACTATCTATGGTATACATTGTTATGATTCCTCTAAATCATTAAAACTTTTTGTTTTAATTTATAGACATGTACAGGTCACATACTATGCAGTATACTCCTCAATGCACCTGATCTGCTGCGAGTTGACTTACAAGGGGTACAGGTCCTTTTGCCGCACCTCTTAGCAGCCTTGGAGATTGTTCTCTCTAAAAGACAAATTAATGTTTTAAAGTAAGACACAAAATTTTTTTTAGAATGACTTTTTTCTTCACAACAACTGTTACTATTTTCTCAGGAATCATATATATTTGTGTCTTAGATGTCCAGTGTCTATTACTGATCTGCGCCGAGCTGCAATCCACCTACTAGTATCCATGCTTTGTCTTCCCTTGCATTTTCAAAATCTACCAATTCAAGGTAAGTTTAAGTTCCTTCCCATCCGTTGTACACAACTAGATTGCCCTGTGTTAAGTATAACCACCCAAATTGGCCATCAGCCTCAGGGTACATCTTTAAAAGGTCTGATTGAGAGTTTGGATGACATTGTAATACAGTGAACACTCGTCTTGCGGACACCCTGATATTACGGACACCTTGCTATTCAACCAGGAGAAAAATCCCCCACAAAAATTCTGACAAAGAAATGACCGTAAAAAAATTTCGATATTGCGGGCGCTCGCTATTATGGACATGAAGTGACTGTCCCAAGGGTGTCCRCTGTAACGAGAGTTGACTGTATTATGCATAGATTGTAAATAGTTTAATAATATCTGTACTCATCATTGTGTTTTTTATTTGCGTTCATTCTATGCTAGAATATGCAATACATTTTCAAATTGTTAATAAAATGTATTTTACTACCATGACTTCATGTAAGGGGCTATTCCATGACATTCACTCCACACACACTACCATGAGTAGCATTCAAGCCCTTGCAAACAATAATATAATCCAACCTAATCCTAGAACTTTAGTCTGAAATGAGATGGTTATCGTTGAACAGATATGACAGCTGGATACCAGAAGAAGACACAGCCACCATGTGATGCCACACCCACCCACCCAGCAGCTCAGTTGACGTTTCTGTCATTGAAGCCCAGGATCACTCGTCTGCTGCTGGATGCTTTACAGATTGAATCTGATTCGTATAATGTGCAGATCCTCCTTGGAGGTGGAGTACATGTGATATTAACATTTTGTCGGCATTTTAGAATTAGCTTGTTTGTTCATTGATTTCTCCAAATTTCATGAATTCATCCTTACTGCCATCCATCCACACTACCATGCATTTATCCACTCATTCCTCCATTCCATCCACTCATTCATGCATCTCATCAATCTATTCATCCATGCTGCAAGAATCCATCTCATCCATCCATCC